TCACCTCTTGTCCATGGTTAGGAATGACCAGAGAAAGAATAGGCATTTGGCATTCATTGCCTGAACTATCACGATGATTAAGTCAAGAAACCCAGAAACGTACAGGAACTGGTGGAGTCACAGTATACACCCCTAGACTCAGGAATGCACATGTACCTCTTTCTGGCTGCCATAGTGGAGAATACTGAGCCAAATTCTAATCTAGTCAATAACTCATGAAGTAAGAGCAGTCATCCGCTTCTTGAAAATCGACTGAGTTTGTATGGGACTCAGCCATAATCTTAACTCCTTGCTCTAGAAGCCGTGTGATACCTCAGAAGAGCCAGCAAGGCTGCTTTCTTCCTTTGAAAAGAATAGGAGCATATAGCTATCCCTCTCCATGTGCAGAGAAGGAGCCCATGGACTCCCAAGCCTAAAGTGGGCATGGCTGTTAGGGACTCCATAGTGGTCAAAAGTGCAGCTTCTGAAAGCAGATCCAGGTCTGTCTCCGGATTTGCCACTGCTGAGTGTATGCCTCCTTAGGTCTTCCTCCTATAAAGTGGGATAAAGTCAATGGTATATGTGCATGCTACATGCTCAGTACCAGATTTTTCACATATAATGTGCCCATGTAAATAATGTGCACACCTAGAACATGCAGGGTACATGTAGGAAACTAATGCACAAGGTAATTGTGCAGTTTGTGAAAACCATATAACATATAATATATAACATGTGTTCTATGTGTATCTATATGATAAATGATGTCAGTTTCATTGTGTGATAATGATCCGTCTGTATTCTATTGATGGCTCTTTATAGACCCAGCAAATGCAAAGAGATGAGTCAGTATGCTTAAATGTGAGTAGAAGCTCTGTTTATCATTGTCATTTATTTCCAAAAGAGACCAACACGGTACTTACAAATTATAATCTCCTCAGTGACTAAGACATCATGCCAGACTTAGCATAAAGTCACTTGAACTTGGCAAGCATTTGCTGAGCCCTTTGCCAATGTCAAGTACTGCTGGAGGTGACTAAGACTTAGTGTCCTGGTGTGGCGCGGTAGGATAAGCCCTGGACTGGTAATGGCAACATCAGTAGTTCAAGCCCACTAGATGCTCCTTGGAAACCCTACACAGGTTTCTATGAGTAAGAACCCATTCAATCAACCTTTACAACAAGAAGAAGGAAAGACTTGGTGCCACATGAATATGGTCAGCCTGGAATGGTCAACCCTGGAGCTGAATTTCAAAGGTGCCCAAGATTCCTGGGATTGATTTCCAGTGTAAAAACTTAGAGAAAGAGCATTCCAGGCGGGGCAAACCAAGCACAGGAGGCTTATGGCATGTGGCAGTCTCTCTAGCGAACTCCAAGGAAAACGGTATAGCTGGACATCATGGAATCTGGCTGCAAGGAGGCTGGGAGGCCAAGAGATGGAGAGTTCTAAAGGCAATGCTTAGCAGGGTTATCTGTATCTCTAGACAGGGTGAGAGACATGGGAGGGATTATCAGGAAGAACCATGGACCAACATGGTGCCAACAAGCTCCCTGGCAATCATGGGAAGGCCAGAGTCAGGGAATGAGTGGGTATAAACTATCAGATGAATCACCTCATGGTATTGAGAATGCTGTAGAGTCGACCAATCCCAGGAACTAGTAACCATGTCCATCAATAATTGATTTAGTGAATTTTCTGAGATTCCCAGTGATCCCAAAGAGAGGACTGGAATTAACTTATGCTTGGTAACTTCTAGAAGTTGATATCCCAAACAACCTGTTATTTGGTGCCTTGGTCTCACACTTAGAGGGTGAATGATTGGCAGTTACTTTCCCTAGTGAAATGAAGCAGTGCAAACACATGGAGATCAGTGCTGAATCAGTCTATTTGATTTCTTCATTTCATCTTTCAACTGGGGAGTGAAACTGGTCTGAGACGTGCCTGGGGCTGTTTGGTGCCACTGGAATGAGCGGCTCCTGGCCATTCCTAATGGCTGCTCTGGTAGAACTAGCCACACTGTTGGGGGCTCCTCCACTGTCTGAAGAATCCATGTGCCATTTGCGGGTTTTCTGTGACTCATGAGGCCCTGCAAGTCACATGATGCTACCAGGGATTCCTGAACCAACCCTTCAAAGGCTAAGGATCTCTACAAAGAGATCCCATTTATTGCTTCTAGAATGTGCCATCATGGAGTGGGCAAGAAAGCAGAAGTCAATTAAGATGTATTTGTATCTTGTGATCTTTAAACTCCAAGGAAGTTAGTTTTCAGGCATAAAGGACTGTCCGTAGTTCTAACTGACATTTCTGCCCCCCAAGAACAACTGTGAGCTTGAGAAAGGGAAGCTGTGATTGGCCAGGGAACTCAGACCTGAGGTGAGGGCCACTGAGCCTTCCCCAGTTGGGGAATGTCCTGTCAGAATGGAAAGGAAGTCTTTTTCACCAGCATGTTGAGTTTACTTTGTCAAAATAGTTCATGATACTTTTTAGGTCATGGTTTGTTTTGTTTTGGAGGGCAGCATCTCTAAGTTTGTGGTATAGTGAATTCTTTAATGTCTGAATAGAAAGTGTTGTGGGAGGGATGGTTGGTGCCATCATTAATTACAAAATTTGATTGTCTTCATGTTCCCATGTTCTGATTCCCATTCTTTTACATTTATAACTTATTTTGAAATTTTGGTCTGCCCCACCCCACACCTTTAAAATCTTGCTTGTGACATTTGTAGTGACACTTTCTGCCTTTCCAGAGTAGTTTTCCATACATACACACCATGGTACAAGACATGTGACTTGGGATCCCGGCAAGACTGGATTTGCATCCTGCTCTGCTGCTAACTAGCTGTGTGACTTTGGGCAAATTATTTCACCTCTGTTCCCTCATCTGTAGAATAAGGAAAATAACAGTTCTGCCTCATGTACAACTGTTTGTAAGGACTGGGTGAGACAGAATATTGAAAGCTCAATACCTTCCCCAGTGACAGTTTTTCTTCTCATTTCAAGTGATGAATCCAAGTCTCTGCTCCATGGCAGAGACTTGTCAGAAATTAAATCTCTGAGTGGAGAAATTAAATCTCCACGCTGAGCACAGCCTTCATTTTGGGGTAGGGGTGGATAGTTTCCTCTTCCCTAGGATGTTTGGTGGTAGACAGAGATGCTCCCTCACAGCCTAGAGGTTCCGAGGTCAGAGAGTGAAGACTTCCGCTCCTTCAGGCAGGGCTGTGTCCGCTGCTCAACTGAGTTCTGAAACTTTCCCTGACATGAAAATCAAGGATGAGGTTTTCTTAATAGCCTTTGTCTGCAAGAACTGGGTCATCTGTCCCATTCCAGTGAATTCCCTGTCGTTTGAAGCAGGATGGGAAGCCATGGGGCCCAGAAGGGGTGAGGGCCAGTGAGTCAGCAGTTCAGGCACACCTGGCTGTTGAGAGAGTTACACCACTTTGTTTTGGTCTTGCATTCACCATTTTGGTTTTGAAAATCCATCCGCATGTCTACACACACACCAATGTAGAATCGGTGTGTACTGTGGCGTGGTGGGATTGGGGCGGAGGGGGCAGGATAGCTGGTGGTCAACCACACAGCGATGGCTCAAGGTAGGGGTCCTTAACATGAGATTCACGGGTGGGGTCAAGTGAGCCAGAACCTCCCTGGAACTTGTCTACAAACTGTTGGTGGCTGGGGAGGGTGACACACCACCGTGAGGGCATCTGTGAAGATAGACCATAGCTTTAAACTGAGTCTCAGAGGAGCCTGTGACCCCACGCTCCAGTACACCTAGAGGACTAAGCTAGGCTATCGGGTGGTTGACAAGATGAGTCACAACCATCTCCTGGTCAGGCCCCTGACAGACTGTTCAATCGGTTGTTGTAGACTCATGTAGACAAAGCCTGCAAGCTTGGGGAAGCCAGGCCCCCCCAGGTCAGCCTTGGGCGGCAGCCCCCACCCTGCCAGGCGCTGGGGAGTGAGCCCTTCCTGCCCGGCAGCTCCTTTGCTCATGAGCTGGCCCGAGTCACCTCCTCGCACAGCACCTCAGAGGCAGCGCCCTGGGGCGGCTGGGATCCGAAGGCCTGGAGGCAGGTACCCGCTCCACTGCTGCCTAGCTGCGAAGCTACAGGTAAGTCACCCCCCCTCTGCGCCTCGCTTTCTTCATCTGCCAACCAGGGCGCCCGCCTCACGGGGGTGTTGGGAGGAAGACAGGAGGTGATAACTCTGTACCTCTGAGGGTGTTCTAGTGCTTGCTCGCCTTGCTTCTGCTCTGCTTTAGCTTGGGCCTCCTTTCTCAGAGAGACCACCCGAAGCAAACTTTAGGGAAAGGAGTGGGGATGGCCCTTCCTCACCTGCCTACATATCCCTGTGACCAGACTGTGAACCCGAGAGGGCCAGTGCCCACCGCCTCTGTATCTAGGTGATGTTTGGGAAGGACCTCATTGCGCTCCCCCTGGACTCACAGTTGCCTCCCACCCCCAGCCCCAGAGGCCCGGCAGCCTGGATGGCAGGCAGAAGAAGCACACCCCCAGTCTGCCCAATATGCCAGGCATCTGGGCCATCCTCAAGAATCCCAGAGTCTAAAAGGAAGGGCATGCCTTGCCCAGAAGATGGCAGAGGTCCCTCGCTTGGATGTTCTGTCACGCGAAATGTCAGTGTACACAGGACGCCAGCCCCCATGCTGAGAAAGCCATCAAACTGAAGGGGCTCCCGGGATCCGGCCTTTAATGGAAATTCAGGCTGGCTGCTGCAGCCCTGGCCAGGAGGAACAGACCGTCCTTTGGTTCGAGGGCTATTGATTTTTCTCTCGCTCGTTCTTGTTTCCCTTCTTTCTCTGCGTGCTCTCATTCTCAGCACAGAGCCAGCAGAGAAACCAAATGAGCAGAATGGCCCAGGAAGTCACCCACTCTGGACATTGATGTTGGCACCCTGCCCTACACTCAGAAGCTGGCTTGGCTTGCGATTTCCAATTGGCCACCTGATCCTCACTCTTCCCAAGTCTCCTTGCATGTCACATCTGCTCTAGGATTCAGTGATGCACGCCCCCCCCCCCGCCACCCCCAGGCATGGAAGTGCTAGTGGGGCCGACCCAGCAAGGCCTGAGGGCTTCCGGGCAGCCATACTCCAGGAGGGGCAGAGACTGCAGACCACAGGGGAAGGAGAGTTGGCGAGCTGGAAAGACATGAGTTTCCTTTGTCCAGGGATCCTTCCCAGCATTTGAAGCAAGCCTTTCCACAACCCAGCAGCCTGAAATCCCCAAGGCCAAGGCCAAGTCCTTTGGAAAGGCAGAATGTGGAGGGCTAGCCAGATGACCTGCAGATCTTGGCCATTTGTTTTCGTTGTGGTGGTGGTGGTGGTGGTGGTGTTTGTCAGTTTAATTTGATTTGATTGTGGAAAGATAGATTTGATAGAGCACCTGCCACTTTAACCATTTTGAAGTGTATGATTCCGTGACGTTGATTATGTTCCTCATGCCGTGCAATCATCCCCACTACCCAGGTCCAGAAGTGTTTCATCACCCCAGACAGAAACTTGGTACCCCTTCGGCAAGAACTCTCCCCCAGCCATCTCTTTTCATGGAACCTTATTTGGTGAAGCGCCCACTCCCCACCCCCCATGGCAACTTCAGACTAGCTCAGACCTAAGGGCATGCATGTGCCAGGTTCAGGAGGGGTAAAAGAAGCCCCCCCGGCAGGTCACTGTAGCCCAAGATTTTGCCCGATTTTGAGAGTTATATGGAACTATATATCTCTAGTTCACCCTCGGAGCCCCATGCCTGCCAGTGCCCACCCATGCTCGAGCCCCTCAACTGGTTTGGTTTTCTCTAGGCGGAAATGGTTTCCTTTGATGATTTGCTGTGTCTGTCAGCAGCCCCTTGCTTGTCAGCTCCATGAGATGCAGAGTGATCTCCTTGAGCGAGCCTGGGACAGTGTCTGGCTCACAGCAGGCCCACCATAAAGGTCTGCCAGCTGACTGGTGAGGTACTACACTTGGGCCGATAGGTTCAGCATCAATGAGCAAGGAAAGGCACTGAGCAAAGGCAGATCTTGGCCCCAGCAGTTCCTGGAAGAAGAAGTGGCCTCGACATAAGTCATCATTCTTCCTTGTCCTACCTCTCCTGGAGACATTCTAGAGAAGCTGAGTCATGGATTCAGACAGTTCAGGGGGTGCCCAGGAAATCATCAAATTTTGCCTGCCCTGCATCTGTAGGAAAATTCTCTAGAGCACTCCTGCCAAATGGCCTCTGCTGGCCTTCCTCTGGTGACAGAAAACTCACCCCTTCCCTGGGCAGTGTCTTTCATCTTTGGCCAGGTGTTCTTGTTAGAAATTGCTTTCTTGGATTGAGCTATAATCTGCCCTGCCTGCAACTCCTCCTCCTTGACCCTGGCTCTGTCCTCAGATATCCCACCCCCACCCCCTCCCTTCTGGAGGTGCCTTCTGAAATCCAATGACTACAGGTATTTCACTCCTCTTTGTGCCGACCCTACACCCTACCCATAGGATTTCCTTTGGCTTTGCCTGCATCACCTGGTGTATCTAAAGCCACCAGAGCAATTTCTTATGCTAGCCATTTTTGCGCTCAACCACCCAAAGCAATCTTGTTCCCTCCAGAACAATCATCTTGAAAGGCAGGCACTGGCCCTGCCTTTGAACTATCTCCAAAATTCACTCCCTCCATCTGAGGAGCAGGAATTGCTTTCCCTGAAGATAGTCATGTCCCCTCCATAGCATCCCTTCGCCATGTGGTCCCTTCTCTTGGAGGCACTGATCTGAGAGACATCAGGATGCAGGACCACCCTCTAGACTTTGAGCACCTCAATAGCAGTGTCCAGCTGGGGTCCTCTTTGGCACCCCCTGAGAACTCAGCACCAAGCCTTATAAAGAGTTGTTGAATGGAAATATATGGTCTTGGAAGACCAATCGCAAAGAAATTCCAGCCCTGTACTGAGCAGCAGCCTCCTCCTGGGGTCAGCTTCTTCCTCGGGTGGGTGGTTTCCAAAAAGCCCTGAGGTAGATGTTTTGCTGGGGGCTCTGTCACCCTCTGTCTATGGGCCACGCCAGCCAGAGCCCCCAAGTCTCAGGGGTCCCAGTCACCATGGTTAGGATCCACCAGCATTCAGGTCTTGAGTTTGTGCTCCCCACGCACTAAGTTGTCTTCCTGTCATTTCAAAGTAGAAGCCAGAAAGGTGGGTAGCTCTTTCCAAGTCTGGCGACGTCTTTGGCAAATACTGTGGAGTAATAAGTAAACAAGCACAACCACACTTGAGACCCATAGTTGGTTCTGCATGGGGCACTCCTGAAGTCGGACTTCTGTGTTGTTGTTGTTAGGTGCCTTCGAGTCGATTCTGACTCAGCAACCTTATGCACAATGGAACGAAGCATTGCCCAGTCCTGCGCCCTCCTCACAATTGCCGTTCTGCTTGAGTCCATTGCTGCTGCCACTGTGCCAATCCACCTCATTGGGGTCTTCTTCTTTTTCACTGACCCTAGGACTTCTCTAGTGATGCCTCCCTTCCTTTCTTTCCCCCTCCTCTGCCCTCCTCCGCCCTCCTTCTTTCTTCCCTTTCTCCTCCCCCTCATTGCCTTCATGTTCTCCTACCTCCTTTTCACCCTCTTCCTCCCTCCTCCCTTCTCCCTCCTCCTTCATCCCCTTTTCTCCTCCCCCTCATTCCCTCCATTCTCTCCCTCTCCTTCCTCCCCTTCCTTCCCCTCCCCTTACTCCTCCCACATTTCTCTCCCACCTCCCTAAATGTGTTTTTACAAGCTAAGGCTTTGGCCTCATTCCCTAGCTTCCATAGTCAGATGCTCCCCTCCTGGGGATCGTGGCGGGAATCCAGGAACCTTGTGTGAGCATGTGGCTATGAGGCCTGCTGATGACCTGCCCTTCACCACCCACCCATTCCAAACCACAGAATCTCCTTACCTAAAAGATGGAATCCAGACTGAGACCCGTCCTCCTCTGAGCAGGTGGGGACTGAGGAGAGCCTAGCACACGGCTGAGCCCTGTACTGAGCACCACAGTTCATAGGCAGAGGTCATGAGGCCTAACCAAGAAGTAGGGTTTGAGTCCTTACTGGTCCGTTGTCAAGCTCCCAGAGGTGGACTTGGGTGCTTGCAGCTTCCTGGGTGACAGTTGGGAAACTGGCAGGAAGACAGTGCCAGGACCTTCCTGGGGCCTATCTGTGAATGGGACACTTCATGGGGTTGGAAGGAGGTAGTTGTGAAAGAACCTGGGGCTTTAGTTCTCCAGAAGCCATCCTGCTGGCCCCAGGCTCACAGTGGTGGACCATTATGGGGACACCTCCCCCACCAATGCGACCTGGTTCCTGTCAGAGCCACCTGGCACAACAGGACCACAAGCCATGACAGTGCAGCCCTAGGAAGACGAGTCACGTGCTGATGTGCAACTAGAGAGCTGGGCCGTCCTTCAGGAGTGGCCCATCACCAGGCAGTCCATTTCAGCCACCATTTCCTCCTGGTCACTGAAAACATTGGTCATTTCCTGTTTTCTCCATTTTCCAACGATTCGAATTGTCAGTGTCAAAAGGCAACAACTGTTTTCTTGAGGCTTATCTTTGGAGCACATTGATTCTGAACAAAGGATGGAGCCTCTGGCTGCAAAACAAAGGAAGCCGCCTCCTAGGGAGGGCTGCTGAAGAGAAGGCAGGGACAGTAGGACCGTTAGGAGCCTAGGTCTGGCCTTGGTCCTGAATGGCTCAGTGGGGCAAAGAGGACAAGGAGGGCCCAGCCTGGATGTTGGCAGCAGACTTGTCAACACTGCAGTGCGCTGGAAGCGACCGTGCTGTTTGCATTTGGAAGTTTCTTTCATGCTGCCTCCTACCAAACTAAGCCTTGAGTTTCGGATGTCGTGAATGACGTTCCTCTTCTCAGGAACACCACACTGTTGAAAAACTAAGCACACTCTTTCATCTGCTGGGCCCACCCAGTCCCTCCTCGTCCCTCCTCCCTGGGAATCCTGCCCCAGCCGGCCTTGGGTGGGGTTGTCTTTCTCCCCACATCCTTCCCGTTGCATTTTTCTGCCCTTCCTCAGTTTTCTCTTTGGTCATACTTTCTTGCACCCACTGCCATCCCTTACAACTGTGTTACTTGCTAAAATGAACTGGGCAGCTAGTGAGGGGACAGGTAGGGTTGGTCCCCACAAGCACCCAGCTGGCATGACAGAAGCCCTGGGTCTGGAGGTGGGAGACACTGTGCTGCCATGTGACTTTGGACAAGTCCTTTAACCTCTGTGAACCTCAGCTGTCGAATCAGCACACAGGGGACTTTCACTCTTCTACCCCACCCTCCTAGGGCTGATGTGAGGGTCAAGAGGAAGAAGGGGAGAGAAGGGGTTGGGTCAAGGTGGAAGGGGTGCTTCTGTACACCCACCTCAGGGAAGTGGTCCACCCACCCTAAGCATTTCAGCAGTACCCAATGCCTCACCCCTGCCCCCCCACTTCTGAACAGTGTGGCCTTGAGCACAGCGTGTGACCCATCATTGGTAAGCTGGGATGCCAACAAAGGACGAAGGGACATCATTCATGTCAAATGCTCAGTACATTGCATTCTCATGAAAGCAGTTCCCTGTCCACCACCTCCACGCCCGCCCAGTTAGAAAATCAATTCATCAGGCTGCTGGGAAGCAGCCCACCCCCAGTGCCCCAGTGCAGGGGCTGCCGAACAAGGACAGGAAGCAGGCCACGGGTGGAACGGAAAAGCAGCCCTGGGCCTGGCAAACTCACTTCTGTTGCCGTCCTCCCAGTGCCGTGTGTTTGTCCCCTCTGCCTTGGCACGAATTGAGACTGGGATGGCTGCCAGACCCCACTGGCCGATCCCAGTGCCGGCCTTCATTACCACCCCTCCCACCTGTCCTGGCAGCACATTTTACAGGCTATCGTCTTCATGTTCTTAGAGCAATGTGGTGACGCCACTAAACAGTTGACATACAGATATGCTGTCTGACAGAGCTGCCCGGGTCACGGGCACATAATGGGGCAGAAATGGTGTGAGGCTTTGAGCACTAGACTGGAAGTCTGACCCCATCCCAGACACACCCCTGCCCTGAAGGCCTCCTCCAGGCATTGAGACCTCCAAGGGATTCTCTCCTGGGTCCCTCCCTCAGCTGACTCATGGCCGCCCATGCTTGGCTCCTCCGCCCAATGCTTGGCTGGCTTTGAGACTGCAGACAGGAAGCTTCTCCCAGATGCCCTTGCTTCAGCCAGTCAGGAGGATGAAGGGAAGTTGGTGTGTGGGTTTGGCTACTCCAGGTGTGAGAATACAGATATCTGACTGTGAAATCGTCTGCCATTCATGCCAGGACCACCAGGAACACACTTTGGCCCTTTCCCTGAGACAGCCTTGCAGAGGCTGGACACCCACAGCTGCATTGCCCACAGTCAGCTGAGCCCCAGCCCAGCATTCCCGGAGTACTCACCCAGTCGAGTCTCTGCCCCAGTTGCTTACCGTCTCCCAAACTCCCAGCAGCACTGTGGGTATGGTCTGGCCAAGGCAGAGTAGCATAGAAATTTCACCTCCTTCCTTGTAAATACTCTGCTTCTGTTAATGAAACCAAATGTGTAATTCACTATCTTGGTGGCCACATCTCACTGCTGACCCAGCATGAGCAGATGGACATCCAAAATGCCTCGGTCTTTCCTGTCTTCATCCTCTTGCTCTGAAGCTCTGTCTCCCACTCTCTCATCCTATGCTGTTGCGGTTGGTTTTTTGAGCCCCAGTACAGACGCCTACTTTTATTTATACCTGCAGACTTTTGCTTGGGAGGGTGGGGCCTGCATGCACATGTGTGTTGGTGCATTCACTCATGCTTTCTGCTCCACCAAAGCCAAGTCCTGAGTTCCCAACAGTGATCCCAAGGCTACTACTGCTTGGTGACTGTCAGCTAACATGGCTTTTTCATTTCCTATTTAGCCAGAGAAACAGAGACCAGGTCTTATGGCAATGACCCCTGAACAGTGGAGTGCATATATAGCCCAACAGATGAGTCAATTTCAAGGTAAGCCGTGAAGGTCTATGTTTCTGAATGGGCAGCCACAGGGTGGCGGAAGAGAAAGCAGTTCATCCCAGCCTGAGCACTGAACTCAGATCGCAACTGAAGAGCAGTTTTTAATGGCTTATAATTCACTGTTTCATTCAAGACACTCAGAAAACTGAGTCAGGCCTCATCCTATAGTAGCCTGTGTGTTGCTGTGATGCCATCAGTATTTCAAATACCAGTAGGGTCACCCATGGTGGATAGGTTTCGGCGGAGCTTCCAGAGTAGAACGGAGGACCTAGTGATTCACTTATAAAGAAATGAGCCAGTGATTACTGTCTGATAGAGTGCCAGAAGCTGAGCCCCTCAGCTTGGAAGAGACCCAAAATGCACAGTGGTCACACCGATGGACTCAGGCCAGCCGATGACGGTGACGATGGCTAGGACCTTTCACTCTGTTGTACCTGGAGTCAGCAGGAGTCAGAGCTGACTAACGATGGGAGAGGGGTGTGTGTTAAAATCATTTAGGGGGTGTCGCACCCTCAGGGTTCTGCTGACAGGTGTAGGGAGCCGGGGAGGTCACAGCTGCAGAAAGGAGGAACATTATAGTAGGAGCCGGGGTGCAGGGGTATGGGAGCAATAGCAGTGAGGGTGGGGATGAGAGTCGGTAACTCCCCTCCAGCCCCCACCACCCAAATCAAGCATGCCTTTGGAACTGACCCCACTTCTTTCTTTCTGTAGCCGTCCAAGAACTTGTCACCTGCAAGCGCAGCCGGACCAAGGCAAGCCCCCAGCCCAGCCAGTCCCTGACACCATCCAAAACCGGGCTTCTTCGGAGCACTCTAAGTCCAGGAACAATTCCCCCAACCAGGCCTGTAAACCAGGGCACCATGGGCATGACGTCATCACATCCGGGCCAGCAGCCAGCAATCTTCAGCTCCAACCCCCCGTGCTCCATGCCCCCAAGCTCCAGCCGGCATGCACAGAGTCCCCTGGGCAGCCAGTCCCTGCTCCAACATCCCAGTGTGCCAAGAATGCCCGATGAGTTCAACAAAGCCTTGTGGGCGGTGGCAGCAGTCTCTAGGGGGCCAGCTCTGGGCCAAGTAGATAATAGCATTCAGCAACATTTGGATAGCAGCTCCATCTTCGCCAAGGCACCCGTGAGATTGCCTGTGGTTGCCCCAGCGTTTCCACCACAGCAGAGAGTTGTGCCCCTCAATCAGGTGGCGGGTGCTGCCCTAGCCAACGGTAACTTCAGCATGCTGTGCAGCCACAGCCTCAGGCAAAGCCCCGTTCGGGGTCCTGTGCCGGGGCTGAGTGCCACCAAGTCCCTCCAGCAAGGTCTGGCCAACTTCAGTCCCACAAGTCCCATCCAGGGCATTGAGCCACCAAGTTATGTGGCTGCCACTGCTGCTGCCGCCACTGCCGCCAGCCAATCATCACCAGGCCCATCAAACAAAACTGCCCCCCCTGCTGAGCTGCCATCCTATCACTTGCTGCCCCAGCACCCCCTAAACGATCTGATCTCACCCCCTGAGTGCAGTGAGATGGATTTCATTGAAGCCCTCTTGAAAGGCCCCAGTGTGAGCCCAGAGGAGGACTGGGTGTGCACTCTGAGGCTGATCGATGACATTTTGGAGCAGAATGCTGCTGCCCAAAATGCTACAGTCCAGAATGGTGGCCAGGCCACTCCGGAAGCCAGACAGTTTTAAGTCTCAGCAGAATGCCCATAGAAAGCCCCACAGGGACATCACCCTGGGAAAGACCTTTCCCCTGCTTCTCTCTACCTGTGACAAAATGGATACTGGTGATTTTTCAAGCTATCTGTACATAGTTGAAAATTTTGTACATTGTTTTCCTAAACATTAATGACAGAAGTATTTATACTTCATTTTGTGACTTTGTAAATAAAGTGACCGCATAGTTTTTGCTTCGGTAGAGTTGTGTTTCTTATACATCGATTCTGTGTGTGTGTTTATTATACATTGTTACAAATTCGCAGACTGTCTTGTGAGCTCCAGTTATACCTTGTTCAGCCGGAAGGCTAAAGCGCTTCTGGTTCTGCTTTGGGAGATGTGGATGTGACCAAGAGGTGTTGTGCAAAGTGACAAATGCCAAATAGAAACCCACTTGGCCATGTATTTCCATTTTTGCTAAAAATTCTATCACCTTGTGTGATTCTTGATCTCTTTTGCAATCCTTTCCATCTCCTCTGGCTCTTTACCTGATAAGTATATTCCAGCAGAAGCCATGTGACCCAAGGGCCGCCCTCAGAGGAAATTTACCTTGAGGATTGATGGCGTCCTCCCGCTTCATCTCTGTGCAGCGCATCTGCAGTGTAGACCTTTGTTGGCAAAGGTGCAATGTCTCTGGTTTAAGGTCTTTCAGTCATTGTTTTGCTGTAAGACTGGTTTGGGCTGGGGGGAAGTCTGTCAACATGAATAGTTGATTTGGGGCTTGTCTTTGTTAGTTTCAATCGGCAATTATCGTCATGTATATTTAAGTGTCTCTGATCAAAGCCTCACAGCCACTGTTCTGTAAACTTTCCCCAGTGTCCTGACTTTATGTAATCACATTTTAATTGCCACATCGAGTGTTTGGGCTTTATATTTGAAATCTGGCGTCTGTTTCAAGCCAGTGCGTTTTTTTCTTCTTCGTTCTGTAATAAACAGCCAAAAAAAAAAGTGCCTTTATGGTTTCCTTTGTCAGTACCTACAAACCTGAATCCGCTAAGTCTGTTGGTCCTAGGTTATTTCAAAGATGACCTATTTCATGTCTTGTGGGTTCCAACGACACAGCACCAGCGGGGCAGGGCAGTGCCTGTTTGACACATGTGCCATGATCATTTATCATCTCAGCAGAAAAGCTTGTCACTTAGGACCCCAGCCCCTCAGTTTACAAGGGAGGCCACCAAGGTAGCTGTGCATTGGGGGCAGCAGAGCGGCAGACACTTGCTCAGAGCATAGATTCTCCACACCACCTGTCTTCTGTCCCTTGGGCAGACCCCACTTGCCCTTATTAACCAGACTCCTCCATCTTAATGGTGGGGTGAGAATTGGTCCTACACAGTGCCACTCATGACTTGAATATCTTGCTATCTATGTGTGATCCCTGGAATCCCTGGCAACCAGAAGTAACAACACAATGAGCTTCAGAAATGTAGCTCCACTGAGAGGGCAACAGAGCTGATTAAAGGTCCACCTTGCCCCATGATGGAGGGAGAGGAGGCGTTGGGAGATGTTTGCTGCACCAGAAATCAAGGTCACTTCACGGAGATCACCAGTAAGAACATAGGGATGCCCCAGGCCACCAAGCAAGGTCACTGGAGAGGAGGATCTTCCTCTGGCCCTAAGCCAGAGGTTAAACCAGCCCATCTCATTGTGAGTGATGAGAATGGATGAGAATGGAGGGACTCACACCCTCTGTGGGGGAATGACAGGTGTAGGGAGGGAACCCAAGTCTCCAGGGCTTGTCTTCAAATCCAAGACTGCAAGTGACAGCCTCCATGTTCCAGTCTGCCACTTTCCCTACAACCTCTCCCCCTTTGTGAAGTCCCGCCCCCAGGGAGTTCTTCCCTCCCTTCCCCCTCCCCCACACCCCAGCTCTCCTTCATTCACTCCCTCATCCTCAAGGAGCCAGAGCAATGCCAGGTCCCAGGCAGGTCTCGGCTTCCAGCAGGGCACTTAAGGCCAGCTCTCCTGTCCCCAACTTTCCAGAGGGACTAGGGGTAGCAGTGCCAGGCTGTCAGGGTGCTGAGGCTCAGGCCCTGTCCATTCCCTCCCTGAACCCTGCCCTAGGGCCTCATGGATCACAGCAGTCCTGTACTCAGAGTCCCCAGCCATCAGGGCCACTTCCTGCCTTTTCCTAGACCCCAGCTTGGCCTCGCTGCCGCAGCCAACTGTCTTTGCACTGCACTCTTGGTAATTCCAACTCCCGATTCCTCTCACTGATCTTTCTGTAAACCAAAAACTGTTCTAAAAAATAGTCTCATGGAAAAAATAAAGAAAGGGTTTTAGGGGAAAGGAATGTAGAACTGGAAGTTGGTGATTTTATGTTGCCATTGTTTAGAGAAAACATAATTGCAATGAGATAAATATGTTTCTGCTCCATACCATCTTCCAATTCTCAGTACCACATAAATGCTTTTAAGGGAACCCACCATTACAGTTTACTTTTGCTTAAATAAACAAACAAACAAAAAACATTTTATAAGAGCCCCACTCAGTCTGAGACCCACCAAAGTGCAAACCTTCTCCTACAGCTACCTCTCCCTGCCGGCTCACCCCAGCACCCTTCATCAGCTTGGCCCAAGCCTCTAAACCTCCCCTGGGACAGGGATGACTGAAGAAGCCAAGCCCAGCTCCCTGCTTGAAATGGAGGGCTGGTGGAACTTAGGGGGAGTTCACAATTCACACACACACATGCATACACAGAGTGATATATCATAAAGGGTCTTGCCACGTGCTATCACACTATTTGTCCACCAAGTAAGGGGGAACACAAAACTGGTCCCTGTTGGGTGGGACCAGGGGGGATTCTGCTTCCACTACCTTGCTGTTTAAAATTTTAAAGCTGCTAGAGGGCAGATTTCATTTGTTTCAGAATGAACAAAGAGGCTTAGGCTGGCCCTTCAGGAAGCTGCGATGGCATTGGAGCTGAAGATTTGGGCACAAGGCTTTGTAAAGCCCAGCTGCAAAAGTCTCTGACCCCAGGCCTTTGTGCCTGGCCTTGGTGCCAGCCCTTGACCATCTCTATGGGCACGAGTCAGCTCCATTTCTTCCCTTCTCAGCTTGATCTTTCTCCCTTTCCATTCCTCCCCACCCCTCCCCACCACCCCCACCACAGGTGGAAGTTTCAAGGACTGGAATTATGGCGGTTAATGCTTCTGCTGCTTCTCCATATATTGAAATCTTCTGATCACTGAGTCTCGTAGAAAGGCAGCAGCCTTGCACCAATCCACGGGTCACCCTTTGCATT